AGACAAGAAAGGGGGGAAAAGGCAGTATGGTAGTCTTGAAGCAATGATAAACAGAGGAAGAATATGCCCTTTTAAGATGAATAAATGTACCGGAGCATATTTATAAGCTGAATAGGTCGACTAAGTAGAGAGGGAGCATCTGAGGATGTGCACAGAAGCAGGACAACTGAAGAAGCATTATCTGCCTGAGATAAGACATATAGCTGCAGAGCAGAGCAGGAGTTTATCTCAGGTGCTAAGACTGAGTGAAAGCAGAGTGAAGGAAATAAATATGAGAGTCTCTCCAGATTAGTGTGTCCTAGGGTCAGTATTTGGTTCTTATAATTAGTCAGTTCATCCATCTATCCAATTATTCATTCATTTAGTCACATTCATCTAATGCTTCTTGAGGGTCTGTCTTTTAAAATCATTTTTTTAAATGTAGGTATTCAGTCAATAGAGTCACCTATATTCTGATTGTCCTTGTTCTGTCTATACCCGGGTTCTATCAGGGTTATTTATTTATTATTTATTTTTCCTTTTTTCCAGTTTTGGCCGGGGCTGGACTTGAACCTGCCCCTCCAGGTATATGGGGCCAGTGCCCTACTCCTTGAGCCACAGGCGTCGCTCAGGGGGTTATTTATTTTTTATTCCAAGTCTGCCTTTGAATTCTATTTCCTTGCCATATTTACTGCTTCTATTACATGAGATATTTAATATTCTGTGCCTACTTTATACATCGTTTTGTGAATGTGTTTTTCTTCTGGCTTTACCCATTTGGAAGTTACTATTAGGTCCAATTTCAGTTTTTATTAAGGAGGTGGGGGAAAGAAACAAAATTATCCTTTCATGTATATTTCCCACCCAGATGTAAGAGACTTTCCCATTCCCATGTCTCCCCCTGGGCTGGCTCACGTGTTTTCATCAATGTAGCTTGCATGTAGGAGGAAAGATTATGCTCAAATGTTTTTATGACTCTGGCCCCTTGGGGACAGTTGCTCCTGGGATCACTGAAGCCCATGAAATCTCACGGGAGTCTCTCACTCCTGCCACTATCACTGCTGGCCTTGTGACATGCTGGATCCTTCTGAGGAAGTTCTGCGGCCCTGTGTTGGGCAGCTGATGGCAGACACTTCCATAACACACTTCAAGTTTGTGCTGTACTGTTACTAAACTGTTCTGAAGCTTCTTTTTTTAAATTATTATTCAATCATAGCTGTGTACATTAATGCAATGATGGCATACAATGTGCTAGTTTTATATACAATTTGAAATATTCTCATCAAACTGGTCAACATAGCCTTCATGGCATTTTCTTAGTTATTGTCTTTAGACATTTATATTCTACACCTAGTAAATTTCACAGGTACCCTTGTAAGATGCTGCTTTAATGAAGAGAGGAGAAAATTTTCTTGCCTCTGAACCATGCTTTGTTAGCTGATTCCTTTTGTCTCTTATCACTGTCTCAGCGAACACTCTGTAATACGATATATAAGCAATTCTTTCACCCCTTCAGCAGAACAGAAAATCAAATATATCTTTTCATCTGACTTTTATGCTATGTTAAAAATCTAACTTCCTCTTGTGTGGTGACCTCATGATAGGGAAGTGTGGCAGTAAGCGTTCCCCTAATTAGCCACATGGGACATAGAGTTGCTTTCCCCTATGCTCTGGGGGAGAATTCTTCCAAAGAAAGGCTTTCTCCCACTTACCTATTCTCTGAGAAGCCGAGAGCTGTGGTTGTGGTTGAAACCTTCCTGCTTTTTGGGCTGCCCAGCAATGAAGATGAAGACATTTAGAAAAGAGGAGATGACTCTCTTCGTTTCTGGACAAGGTAGGTATGGGGTGAGGGGTGAGCTTTGTACTTTGTGGTATGAGTGCATGGCTTTATTTGCTGCTATTGGAGAAGATTCTTACAGAACCACATTGATAATATATAAGTCTATTGGGCTTAAACAAATGAAGCCTTGTAGAAACAATGTTCAGGTTGTAAAAACACATGACATAGAGGGAAAGAACAAGTCACAGGCGGCACCTGTGGCTCAGTGAGTAGAGCGCTGGCCCCATATACTGAGGGTGGTGGGTTTGAACCTGGCCCAGGCCAAACTGCAACAAAAAATAGCCAGGCATTGTGGCAAGTGCCTGTAGTCCCAGCTACTTGGGAGGCTGAAACAAGAGAATTGCTTAAGCCCAAGAGTTTGAAGTTGCTGTGAGCTATGACGCCACAGCACTCTACTGAGAATGACAAAGTGAGACTCTGTCTCAAAAATAAATAAATAAATAAATAAAAGAACGTAAGTCAGGGATGAGGGACTTTGAACTGTTTGTGTTCTAGGCCTAGAGAAAGTAATAAGGTAACAAGCACCTGGATAAATTATGTATTAAATTTTGTCTGGATCACTAGCTCTGTGACTCTTATCACCGCTATTAATCAATGGATGAAATCTTAAAAATAAGGATTATATTCAGTGAAATCAGGAAAGTTTCTTAGAAATAAAGGAAGCGGGTATCACCGATGGAACTTACCAGTTGAGATTAGGGGCTAGCTATTCCTCCAGAAAACATAAACATGCTGGTAGGTATAACTTTATTGCAAGTACATTCAATCACTTTCCTTCTTAAAAAATTAAGTTCCCACAGATCTGCCAATTTTTCCTTTTTGCAGGTTTCAATTTTTTAATTCCCAACTATACTGAACATAAAG